AATAAGGTTGGTTCCGAATCTGGTCCAGGACTTTGGGAATCGGGATTCGGAACACAGTTGTTACTGCTTGTGTGGCCCTCAGTTCTGCCTCTTGTTTGCTCGATCCATTGTTACCTCAGCCTTGCTTCGGTGAACCGTTTTCTTTCTCTTGCTTTATCTCCTTAGTCCCCGACGTGTCTTCTTTAGCTCTGGCATACTTCTCGATTCTCACCATGAGCTCTTCCATACTTTTTGGCAATGTCTTTGCCAAAGACTTTCGTAATTGATAGTTGTCTTTCAGGCCGTTCTTGAAAGATACGACCACCACCTTTTGATTACATTCGGGTATTCGATTGAACACCTCATAGTATCTTTTTGCATAGGTCCTGAGGCCTTCATCCTTGCTGATCTTCAGAGCCATCAATGCGTCCACCCTTAATGGCTGCAGCTTGTTTGTCACGAACCTGGCCACAAACATCTCGGCCAGGCCTTCCCAAGTCTTCACGCTTTCCTTTGGTAGTTTGTGGAACCAATCTGATGTAATCTCCCCGAACAATGAGGGGAACACTTTGCAGAGCAACGGCTCGTTCCCACTATACAATGCCATTGAGTTCAAATATAGTCCAATGTGGAAGTTGGGGTCTGACTTACCATCGTATATTTGAAACCTCGACATACTGAATCTCTTCGGTGCCTCAAACCTGTCCAATTCCACTGAGAATAGTGTCCTCGGCTTATCTGGAGGGGTTACCTCGACGTCGGCATTCTGTTGCTTCCTCTTGAGGTAATCTCTTAAGTCCTCCTTCGTCCGCCCAGGAGCTCGGTTATCTCCTGCTTTCAGTCTTTTTAGTGCACTGCTTTCAGCTTCGTGGTGAGTCTTTTTCGACCCTTCTCCATGAGTTATGTCGAAGCATAGTGCCTGCCCCTGAACATGCCGATGTCCTTTGGGGTCTGCCTCCTTTGTGCGATACGTCCTCCATGATTCTTCTCTTCTTGACTCTCTTCGTCTGACTTCCCTAGAAGGTCGGTGAGAGTATCTTTCGCTCCCGTTGTGCTGAGGGGTTACGAGGATTGTTCTCTGCCCTCCCTTCTGGGCATTGGTCACTGGAATCAGCGTGTCTTGCAGCGGGAATGGTGGCTGCATGACGTTATTTTGCATCATGAAATTGACGACCGACTGCAGGTTTGCCAATTTGTTTGCCATCTCTTTTACTTCTTCGTCCTTCCGCAGGCACCTATCCTTCCATACCTGGAGGTCGTCCTCGTTGTAGTATCCACTTCGATCTGGTTTCTTTGGTGCGTCGCCAGTTTGGCCGACGTCTCTCACTCCGTGATTCTGGTCATGAGTTTCTGTGTTGCATTCGTCTCCTGTGATATCAAGGTCAATAAGTCTCCCACTCCCAGCAGGAGTGTCGTCCCCAATCTTTTCCTTCTATCCGTTACTGGCCATCTATTGTCCTTTCGTTCCCACAGACGGCGCCAAATTGTGTGAGTGGTTTTCTGATCACACTGCCCAACTTAGTATTCAACTTGAAAATAATGGCAGAAAAGATGACACCTGGCTGACTTGCAACAGAAAGAGAAGATTCTGGCGGTGGTTCGTCCACCCGGAGGCACTCCGACGATCAAGTCAGTATATCTCTCAAAGATAATCAATAATGCAAATCTCACTGTTCAGAATATGAAATTGCGTATCTTAGACCCACGGGGGTGCCTCTCTTTTATAGCTAACTCAATCATTATCCCAACAGAAACCTAGCTCTAATGGACTTAGGATTACTATCAATCTTGGACTCCCAGTAGGATTGGGATAAACTCCCTAAGAGTCTTATCCTTTCCCAACTGTAGTCTTCCCCTTTTCTAGGACTCTTGTGCCTTATCGGCTTATCTTGGATTTCGATATCTTCAGAGGTAACCTCGGCCTCGCCGAGATAACCTTGGCATCATGACCAGGACACGTGACACGTCGGCTGACACGTCGGCGTCACCTTAGCCACGTATTGGTACTTGGAAAATATATCCCCACACAATCTTTATCTATGATAAGGATTGAGTGTGACCTCGCTTTTGGCCCCATTTAGTATAACTGTAGGAAAGTGATTATAGATTATAGTTTAACAGATTATACCTTACAACTGTAAATATAAGGTGGTAACATGTTTAGTGCAGCTGTGGAATTATGAATTTACACAGCATAGTAGTGTTTAGTAAATAAGCTGTAAAATAGCTTTTTGCTGTATAATTGTCAGTTTTGCTCTTATGAACATAAAAATTGTAATTTTCATTTTATTCACTTTAAATTTTGAAAAAGTTATTTTATTAATGGAAACTAATATAGTTAGTACCTATATTGGTACATTTCTACATGACCTCAAGTTTTTATTTATTTATTTATTTATTTTTAATATTGACTTCACAAGGGAACAAGAAAATGTCATTGCAATAAAAATACAAAAAATTACAATTAAGGCAATAAAAATAAACTTCCTACATATTAGATGACTCCTAATTTTGTTTGCAAATTGACATACAAATGTTATGTCTCCTCACTCTCATCTCGTTGTCATTACCTTCAACTTGATTACCATAGCGTGCATGTTGAGACCTTAATCCTTCCTCTTCATTAGGCACATAATCCGTGAATTTATCATAAGAGTCAAATGCAATATTACGGGACTGACTTCGTTGGATGAAATTATGAATTGTCATTGTTGCACAAACAAGTTTGAATTGGGTTGACCACTTGTAGTTTGGTGGGATATCATTTATCATCGGCCATCTTGCTTTCCAAACCCCAAACGTTCTTTCTATTACACTTCTAAGTGATGAATGTGCTTGGTTGAATTTTTCTTGTGCATTTTTTGGGGGTTAACAATGTTCAAATTTAGCTAGACGGTATCTCTCTCCTTTGTAAGGTGTAAGATATCATTTCATGTTTGGATACCTAGCATCCACCAAATAAAACTCATCTATTTTAAAATTTCAAATATTAATAAAATAAAGTAAGCAATTATAAATGTAAAAATAAATATGAAGATGTGAGTGTGGTGCATCTACTATAACAATCAAATATAAAACAGTTACCTCCTTGTGATTTTGGAAAGTTATAACTAGGATTCCTAATTGTATCTAAGAAGATTCAAGCATCGTGTGCACTTCCTTCCCATCCTGGTAAGTAAAATGTGAAACACATATCAAAGTCACATACAACCATTATATTTTGAGTCGCATACCTCTTTCTACCTATTAAACGAGGTTGCATATCTGGAGATATATATGCTCTGATGTGTGTTCCGTTAATTGCTCTAGTACAATCTTATTACAAAATAGTGAATACAAATATTTTTAGTCACAGATTATTAGAAATATCCTACCAACATTGATTATATGTAACACCCAAGTTTCATTTATAGTTAATTATTTACCTTGAAATAAGGATAATATCTATGGTTACTTCGAATATATGGATGCATACCATTTCTTGATTAAGGCCTTACCCAATCAATAGATATCATTGCAACAGCTTTTAACACCTTCTAAAAGTATTTTGAAATCGTTTCGCCGGAATGTTGAAATCTTTCTTGGACATTCTTGTTTCGAATGTCACCGCCAACAATATACAAAATATTGCAACCTGCTCCTGAAACGAGACTTTTTGTCTAGTTTCAAGGCCATAGTTTGTCTGTAACAGATCACACAATTGATAAAATACCTCTCTTTCCATTCAAAAATTTTCAAATATTCTTGTCTAATTCCCTTCTTGTAATTCTACCATCCACTTCCACCCTGTTAGAGAAGATGTCCTACATGGTTCTTTCATCAAATAATTTGTTGCATATGTCACTGCAACTGTTGCCGCCATAGCTAAGAGCATATTATTATTTTGTTGGGTTTGCGCTGTGCTGCCTTCATCTTTAGCATCTTCATCATCGTGATCATCATTCCATTCATTGTCATCACTATTACTCATCTCCAAAATACATACTCATTTAACGGCTTCTTAGTTACTATTACAAGAATGAAATGAACAAACAATGATTTTTATTAAATGATTCATGATATCATTAATCAGTGTAGTGTTTCAGTAAATTGAAGATAAAATGTTAGTCTAAATTAGCCAATAAAGTTAAATCAGTACCCACAAGTCATGATCTAGGACAACATTTGGAGATGAAATTATCAACCTCCATGGCATTGTGTTTTCACCACTGACATGAGTGTTTTTATTTATTAATATTTTAATTATTTTTAAACCGTAATCCCTTTAACAAAAGGAAAACTAAAAGAATGTCAGAAAATCCCAGGAAAACAAGCATGTGGACAACATTTCAGATAGATTACATGGAAATTAAAGCAAGATGTTTCATTTTTTCCGCATAGTTTAAATTACTTTGTTTCAAAATTGTTGCTCTAGAAGTTAATAGTCCACACTATCACTGAAGCATCGAAGTATAGGACCTTCTTCCTCTGATATCATGTTAACAACTAGTTACTCCAAACATTCAAGCCTTTTGACAGTGTGTAAAATTATTTCACCACATGGTAGGCTCAGATGTCATAACACCATATATATATATATATATAATTGAATGCTAAACTTGAACTATACAGTTTATTCTGGTAAAAATCAAATGAACACACAATGATTTTTATTAAAAACACAACTAACTATTGAAAACACAATAAGATTTGTTTACCAAAATACCTGGGGGCCAAAATTAGAAGAAAAACCTCAACTATTGTCTCAACAAAAAACCTGCTTGAAGAGAGCTGAGATATCCGAATTTGATGGATACTTGAGGCCAACACATTTATATATATATATATATATAAGTCTTAACCATTCACCTACCATTCATCTGCAAGATTGAAATCAATGCCACCTACCATTCAAATGACATCCACCTAATAAAAATTGCGTTTGAGAATAAATGCCACCTACCCACCAACCATTCAACCATTTAACTAACAAAGTTCAACATAATTAAAGGCTAACAGAATATTAATAAAAGTCCAAATAATGAGTGCAACATAAAAGTCCAACATACTCATACATAATATTAATAAAAGAAAAAAATAATGAGTCCAACATAACAGTCCACAATTAATAATAAAAGTCTTAATAAAGGTCTTAAACATGAAATAATTACGAAATTCAGAAACATCCAACTTCAGAAACAATTAGCCGCGATAACCTGTGGTGGTCTTTTCCATCTCAATCTTCAACTTCAGAAATCTCAGCCGAACTTCATCCGTAGGAAGTGTCATGAAACACTCATGACGCTTGTCTCTTAAGAACAATCTGGTAGCCCATACATATAGCTCATAATCCAGGGACACATCAGGGATGCTTTGCAATTTCGCCAAACATTCTGCAATTGAAGGATATCTTGATAAGGTTCGTGTTAAAGTTGCTGAAGATGACTAAACCACATTGTCTATATGATCAAATGTCTTGTTAAGTAGAGCTGCACTAGAAAATTTCTTCTTTGTCCTGCTCTTGTTTGATGAACCATCATTGTTTGATAGACCTTTTTTGTTTAAATCAGAAGGATGAACCACCTCCAAATCAGCATCATCATGAAATTCAGCATCATGTGGGGTATGAAATTCCTCCAGAGTAACCCCTGAGCTAGGGGTGTATAACCATTCTCCTGTAGCAGCTGCATCTGAGAATAATATGTCTAAGTCTTCAGTGAATTGCAATGGCATACGCCGATATTTAGCAGCATCAGGATACCTCTGCAACAATTACAAAGGAAAATTTAACAATTTCAAGTAACAAATTTTGGTCTGTTTAAACAAAAAACAAACAGAATATGTACATTAAGCAATTTACTTACCTCTAATTTCTTGGTCCACCACTCATCAGATGCAGATATAGCTCCATTCAATGTATCACGGCCTAAGCATGTCTCACCCCTTAACAGATTATTCCATAAAAGCCAATCTTTTTTTCAACACATCCCAATGGATTTTCATTTGTATTCGTTGGTATACTTTTCCAGTCATACTTTTAAACTTAGTTATCATATTTTCCCACTCGACCCTATCTAAGTGTGTACCAAGTCTGAGTCCAGCCTTCACTTGCTCAACACAAAGCTTAATAAAAATTTCATTTGATTTTGCATCCCAGTGAGCTTTAACGGATGGTACTTGACTTGATTTTCCTTTGTTCTTCCTATTTTCAGATTGTGTTTCCTCTTGGATACTCATTCTATGAAAGAACAAAAATCTTTAAAACAAACTCATTCATCATTGCTTGCATTACAATAGCTATATTAGTACAAAATAACCATACATGGTAACTACGAAAGACATATCAACATTCATTGGGTATAAGGCTTAGTACAATAGTTCATGGTAAACTACATAACACAAAAACACCAGGTATCTCTAAACGGCGCCTATCATCATTTGAAGAGTAATGCAACTGACATAACAATACAAATTGTGAGCAGACCCACAACAAGCTGCTTCATGAAAGCATTGGATTGCTCAAGCATTTGGTTCTTGACTTTTAGTCCTACAGTCTCCATATTTTGATTTTGATCAAGCATTCTCTCATTCCTCAGCCTCTCTACCATGGTCACAAATTTTGGGGTACACCACCGCCAAAGTTGACAATTTCTCTTCTCACAAATGAAATACAGTCTCCCTTTAGATGGCTTATCAGACTCGGTAACCCTTATGGCAGCTCTTACACCACAATCACATTTTAAAGCCTCATAGCTCAAGTCTAAGGTCTCAGCACTAGAAGAATAGTTACTAGAGGATGATTTGCCTTTGCATTAATTAGGAAGAATTAAATCCAAATCCTCTAAAATTGATTGGGAAGTTAATTGTAAATATATTTCATTTAGTCATTTTTTTATTCCAATTTTATGAAAGATGATTGAGATCATACTTCTCACACAAATTAACCACACACCTTACATATTAACCAAAAAAAGGCCAAAACAATAAAATGTTTCTAACATTTACTACAAGAAAACACACATTTGGCGACTAAATTTTTAGTCGCCAAATGTCGAATTTTCACTTTTCCCGACTAAATATTTTAGTCGCCGGTTTTGTCGCGAATACATGGTCGCAAATACCTTTGGCGACTAAAAAACTGTTAGTCGGCAATATACAGGTCTTCAGCGACCAAAGAATTTGTCGCCAATAGTCAATTCCATTTTTGGAAATTATACATTTAGCGACTAAACTTTTAGTCGCCAATAGTGAATTTTTTTTTTTTATTTATACATTTGCCGACTAAACTTTTGGTCGCCAATAGCCAATCTTTTGGCGACCACAACTTTAGTTGCCAAAAGCATTTTTCAGAAAAAAAAAAATTAAAAAATTGCCTATGTTAAAAAAAAAAAAAAAAAATTTGCCTCTGTTGTTCCCAAGTTTCGAGCCACCTACCTCCCAACATTCTCAACCTTTACCAACACCCCACTACGCCACTACAACATCACATGAATATTAATGCAACATATATTATTTATATACTATATTAACCGGTATTAATATAAAATTATATATATAAAAATAATTATTTTTATTTAATATATTTTATGTAAAAAATAAATTATTTACTAAAAAAAATAAGATAGCACTTTGGCGACTAAATCTGAATTTTAGTCGCGAATTCTATATTTTTTGGCTACTAATTTCTGTGTTGTCGCTAAAAGAATTAAATCCCGCCTAAGGATAGCACTTTTGGCGACTAAACTGAATTTTAGTCGCCAAAACCTCTACTTTGGGCGACAAAACTGCATTTTAGTCGGCAATTCTTGACTTTTAGCTACTAAATTTTTTTTAATAGCCAGAAAGCTTCACTTTTGACTACGAAATTGATTTTTGTCGGTAAAACACGTATAATCGGCGACCAAACTATTTTTTAGTCGCCAAAACGTATACTTTTGGCTACTAAATGTTTTTAGTCACCAAAAACCTTCACTTTCGGCTACTAAAATTTTTTTAGTCGCTAAAACCCCTACATTTGGCGACTAAACTGACTTTTAGTCGCTAAAACCCCCACATTTGGCTACTAAACTGTTTTACTTTTGGCGACTAATTGAATTTTAGTCGCCAATTCTGCTACTTTCAGCGACGAAAAATCCATTTTTAGTCGCGAAATCTACTTTTTCTTGTAGTGACTATTTTAAAAGAGACAGGAATTCATTAATTTGAAATGAAATATAAAATATAAATTAAAGTCCATAGTTTGAAATGAGACAGGAATTCATTAATTCATTATAACCTAAAGTCATGAGGCTGAGCATTGGATTTGGCTGAGATAGGAATTCATTAATTCATTAATCCATAGTTTGAAATGAAACAAGAATTCATGAAATTGAGCATTGGATTTGGCAAATCAGACAGGAATTCATGAGGTTGTGCATTGAATTCATAAGCTGTACTCATCACAGATTTTTTTTTTTATTTGTTCAATTGAATGTATCCACAGAGCAATGTGCATTGAATTCATAAGCTGTACTCATCACAGATTTTTTTTTTTATTTGTTCAATTGAATGTATCCACAAAGCAAGAGGAAAAAGAACAAGCCAATAAATAAAACAAGCCAATGTATTCACTAATTTTTTTCAATTGGTATCTCAATGCATTCTGAACAGGAAAAAAAAACAAGCCAACTACATGATTCTCACCAATCAATCAATACATCATAGAAGCAAAGCTCCAAAATTCTATCAAAAAGCCACAATCTTGGAAAATTTTGGAAAATTTCTACAATCTTGTATTTTTGGAAAATTTCTATCAAAAAGCCACAATCTTTCAATAGTTCAATATTGTAATTTGATTTAAACTTAGAAACCTCCAAAATTCCCATCTCAAACTAAAAGAGTAGGGTATTTAAAGGAAACTGAGTTCAATTACGCTGTAATCTTGGGAAACTTCTTACAAAAAATCACAATCTTTCAATAGTTTAATGTTGTGAGTTGATTAACCTTAGAATCCTCCAAATTTCCCTTCTCAAACAAAAGAGTAGCAAACCAGAATTTGGTAGTTCAAGAAACTTAATAAAACCCAAGAAAACCTACGGTTTAGGAGATTTGAAAGAAGATCAGAAACCCCAGTCATAAAAAATGGGCTTTGACTATATAAAATCCAAATCAAAGAAACATAAAGATGATTTAAGGGGATTTTTTTTTTTTCTATCATCAAGAAATTGAAAGGGGCATCTACTTCTACAATAGCAAAGATGGGTCTGAGAACAAAGGTTTGAGGGTGAGAAGGTCAAAGAAAGACCTGATCAGAGTGGTGTTTGTGACAAAGGGCTCAAGAAAGAGGCAAGAAGAGGTTGATCGATATGTGTATATGTATATATAACATACAAAGGGCATGAAATCTTACATTTTTTTGTGCAGATCAACGGAAAATAGGGGCTAAACTGAACGATCGGCTATGATCCTAGAGATGTGGAGGAGTTCGTCATTGGTCGCCAGAGAGGAGAGGAGAAGAGGAAAGTGTGAGAGGAAAGGAGAGCGTTAGGGCAACTGAGAAGAGGGTATATATAATGCAGTTTCGTAATTTCCTCAATTTTGGAGGGGCATTTAAGTCATTTCAGCCCCCCCTTGCTAGCTACGTGCATAAGTCATTTTTTATAAGCACCCCCCGAGCTACTTTTCAAAATAAGCTGAAAATGACTTAAAAGCTATAATCTAATGAATTAAGTTGCATCAAACACAATATTTTAGCTTAAATTAAGGTAAAAATTAAAATAAACAGGTTTTAACTTGCGCCAAACAGGTACTTTGACCTCTCAGTTGAGAGTAGAATTGCTTAAGGCCACACAAACACTCATACCTCCATTGGTGTTGAACCACCAACCTCTCCTATGAAATTGCTGGGGGTGATGCTACAAGGCCACCAATTATGTACAAAAAAATTATTATAAAAACTAGCAATTCTTACAATTTTTTTTTATACTAATTGATGTGTAATACAGCAATAAAAATTTGAAATTTGAAATTTGAAACATAATCTAGTTTAATGATATAACAGGTGCAACATCAGTTAGTAAAAAAAAGTTTATAAAATTTGTTAATTTGTATAATATTATTCTATTTACAAAGCAGTAATGCCAAGTATACAAAATTAAAACACAAAAATATACTATGTAATTTACATTCATCTTGAATGTGATGTGAACTATACCTAAAATAATATCGCAATAACACTCTATACTCCTTGTGTATAGAGTGATTGCAGTCAAACTTGGATGATGAAAGGTTTTATACAGAGAGAGAGAGAGAAAGAGAGAGAGAGTGTTGGTTATGCACATATAGCCAAAAAAAAGGATATGCAAATTTGGGGCAAAAATGATGTACACAAATAGACAAATGAAGGAATAAATGCATAAAAGAGAGAAACAAAACCCAAATGACATTTTAAATGATTTGTGTGACAACTGGTGTTTTAGAAATGATAAGTAAAATTTATATATGGTAAAGCACTTTAAGTTTGAAAAACTATTCAATATTTTTAAAATAGTACGTGTTCATATTTTAAAATTAATCATCATATATTATATCCCTTTATATTCTTCAGTCATTCAATACAAAATTACGAATCTTACATTCTCTACCAACCACAAACATCATGTAATCATATTTCCACTCAATCTAATTTCACAATTGACATAATAACTAATGATTACCAAATGATACAAATCTCTTATAGTTAAAACTCATGCCAACTTACAAATGAAAAAAATCTAAAAATATGATATCTATGCGGTCAAAATCTCTCATGTCTCATATGAGATTATAACATTCTGAAGCAGACTCAAATCTCATCAATCACAGAAGAAAATAAAGAAAGAAAAGAAAATGCAAACACTTCTGAAGTAAATGATGCAGCAACAATGGCAGTGTTTGGAACTTGGGTTTTGAGTTTTTTTTTTTTTTTCGTTTTTCTCACTATAAGATAAATGTTTTACAAAATCAAAAAAAACAAATCCAAACAAAATATCACATCAAATCCCATAATCATTTCACTTTTTCTCTCACAAACATCACATCTAACCGCAAAAAAACTTAACTATCTTTCCAAACACAAAAAAAAAAAAATTCTCTAATAATATCCTACAACTAAAAAAACCTACAAAAAAATCCACTTCCCAAACACTCACAATCATTTTATAGGCTTTTCACTGGAAACCAAACATTATTTCCGCGCAAAAATTATTTTCAAGGTCTACATGATAGATCTATTTTATGAAACTTGAAACAAAAGTTGCTCGATAGTCCATTTATGCACTACCTATAATACACTTTGTTCTTTCTTTTCTTTTTTTAAATTTTTTTTTTTGTTGGAATCTTTCTCTACTCACTAAAACCAGAACATATCAAACATATGCAACCCAAAGTACCAGCAAATCTACAGACTACAGAATCATATTAAATTGTTTAAAACTAGAAATAATAATAATATTAGAAACAAGACTTGGACGTGACTTATTGCTCTACCAATGCTATGATCCCAGAAAAGCCTTCACCAGATTAGTATTAGTTAAGTGTGTTTTCCACCTAAACTAATCTTTAGGTCTCGTTTGACAACTCACTGTTTTAGTTTAAAAATTAAAAAATCACTAAAAAAATTAAAAAATCAACAACTTATATAAAAAAGTCAAAGATTTTCTTTTCTCTCTACTTTTTGCACATAGTTCCGTAAAAAATTAAAAAATCATTCCAAATATACTAATTTTTTTACCTTATATTTTAACAAAAAAAATTACTAAAATAATCGATTGTCAAATGAGACCTTAGTTAGGTCACGAGTCATCTAATCGGTCAACATGGGTCATTCATTGTTGTTGCTATCAGCAAGTGGAAAACTTATTCAGTGCCGGTCCTGTCTACACACAATTGTTGTTGCTATCAATAAGTGAAAAATTTATTCAGTGCCGGTCCTTCTACACACAATAACAAGTTTTATGTAAATTTGTAGTCTCAAATACTGTAAGGCCATGTTTGTTTGGACGGACTGGATTAGCATTCCCATGACTAATAGTCCTAGGACTACGAATTCGTTGGATTATGTATCCTATCTTAACTAATAGTCAAGTTTAAAATAATTAGTCCGTACTTCAATTGTTTAACCAAACATCGGATTAATAATTTTATTGGATTATTAGTTCAATCCCAAGCTCATGTCCACCCAAACAAACATGGCCTAAGAGTAATGCCACCAACGTCACTGAATAATTGCTCCAGCAAAGAAGGTTCAGCCTATATATATTGAACTTCACACCATAATGTTTAGGTGCCATGTTCTTTGGTAACAGCGAAACTTGCAAATCATAAGTCCTACTTAGCAAAGTAAAAGAAATCATTATCACATTAAAATCTTTATAAAGCAGCTAAGCCCCCCAAGGCAAGTTTTTCTCTTGGAATAAATTTGCCTAAAACTCCCCAAGTTAGGGTGGTGTGCCTATCACACGGATATAAATGACTTACAGAGGAGGTCACAGAGACCGTCAACAACTCAAAACACTTATTTTTTTCTTTTTCTTTTTGTGTTCACTAAGAAAGCACTAGCATCTATTCTGATATGAATTTATGACTGTTTTACAGCGAGAACAATAGATACAACTTCTCAAAGTGAACGAGTTGCTTTCGCACACGGTAAATGTGCAGACTGTAAAGTCCTGCAGCCAGGGTCACCAACAGAAAGGATATCATAATCAACACCCAGAAGTCCTGACACGGCAATGAAAAGCGGAGGGTTAGTTGGAATAAATTTCAAGCATGACTGTCACAAGAAAGAGCTAATTATTGGCAAGGTATGCCAATTCTTGGAGATGATGCAAATGAAAGAATGAATGCTCACTATTCTGGTCAAACACACTCAAGTTGTATCCCTGCTTGTATTACTCAACGATGAGTAAAACAGTAAAAAAAAGTAGGAAATTGATAAGAGAAGCCGGACAAAACAGGAAACAAAAGCAAAACTATGACATTTAAAGAATTGCAATATTAAAAATGTTATAGATGCAGAAAAAGTGCATAGATTTCTTAAAAGTAAACAACCATCTTAGCTATGGTCCAAAAGACCTAAATGGCTGAATTTTGCTTGAATGAAATAATGAACCGAACCTTTAGTCATGTATTCTAAAAGTCCAAAAAGATGTAGAAGTAAGGTTAAAGTTGATCACATAAGTCACCTTACGATAAAAGGGTAAGACGAGTTTAGAGCTCTCTCCTGTCCTCTCCTCCCCTCCCCCTTCTAGTTCTTGATAATTCTAATCCCTCAAAGAAACTGACCTCAAACCAACAAGTTTCTGTTCTTTTTAGTTTTTGATACATAGAAGGTCGTGGCATGGGAGAAGGGGAATCTTTCTTGGCGAGACTTGAAACCTTGACCTCCTAGTGAGGGGCAAGGATTCTCGCCAACTGGGTACCATAGGTTTCAAAGATAAACAACAAAACTGAAACAACCCATAAGGAAGCAACTAGAACCCACTAAGCTGGAAGGCTATTAATACAATCGTAAGAAGAAGCCCATTAATGAAAATGATTTCAATTGGGCTTTGGGAATGGGTTTAAAATGTTCATAAACTTTTGATTTAAAAAATAAAAGAAGATAAAAACCCTCAAAACCTAGCAGAAACCCTGTGTGAAAATGTGGCAGAACTAGAAAAATCAATACTAAGTTGACATATTCATCAGTGACATCTTCCACCAATTAAATTTCTCACAACCCCCTAAGACTTTAAAAAAGCTTCAATCAGCTTTTTCCTTCTGTGCATATTATTAAGCAGCTTTGAGTAAATTCAATCAGAATCTGGTACAAGAATCAATACTGAGGAAGGTTTTAGAATCAACCCATATTCATACCAACAAAGCTTTGACGGTGTTTCAGGTGCAAATGTGAAAAAAGTACGTCAATATCTATGCAACAAGACAAATGAAACTACTATAATCTCATCGTTCTTACGTCTGTTTTCCATTATTTTTTAAAATTTCCCTATACGCATATACATGAATTTCTTCTTGCAGAGAACAGCTCTGTCAATGCTCAACATATGGCCAATACTAAATTGCATAACTGACCATGACATGACAACTACAACAAACACTGTACAAACTAATAACATGTCAGTAACCATTTGTCAAACAAAACTAATAATGCCAAGGATGATCACCTGGGGATTGGAGATGATTACGCACATGACATAGGTCATCAAGTCCAGGACAGACTGAATTGAATTTTGTACACCGCCCACTACAATGCGATCAGATTCAGGAACTTGATCCTATCCAAGGAGTATCATTGAAGAAGGTAAACAAAAGTTCCCCACATACAGCAGAAGAACCAGATGGTAATGTAAACAAAGAACTCGTAACCATTTGATATGATTCTTTTCCACCTTACCTGCATTTGTTGAACGACTGATAAGTCAAACATCCATAGCCCAAGGCGTGAGGCAGCCACTCCACCCATCAGCATATACGCTGATACAAGGTTGTTTTGTACCCATATTGAAGCTATACATACTAAGAGGCAGGTCCACTGCAAGAAAAGAAGAAAAAAGAAAATCGAAGTTCATAAAGAAAGTTACATGTTAAGAAGAACAAACTGAACCCTTTTTTGGTGAAGTGAAGTTAATACCTGGGACCAGATGGACCAGATTCCTGTTCTAAGTGTTGAAATCCGAGACTGTAAGATAGGATAGAGGAATGTTGCTCCTATTCCTATTGTAGCACTTACTCCACGCGCAATTCCAATAACATATGCAGGTATACCCTCCCATTCTAATGTAGCAGTCATTAGAGTTCCAAAGCTGCAATAGCAAATAGAATCGGATCATAAGTCAAAGAGCCCAATTGCAATGAGAAACAAATATTTAAGAGAATACCAAATGATCTTGGGTTATACCGAAACAATTTAACTTTCTCCCAATTGCACTGATACACGAAAATTTTTAAAGAGAAATCTAATATAGTAATGTTCTTGTAACACAATTATGCTTCGTCTATTATTATTATTATTATTATTGTTATTATTATTATTCCAATAAGACCTAAAACTATACTATTGAAAATTTGGAAGTCGCCATCCTCTAAGTTGTTTGAAAATGTAACGTTAAGCAGAGTATATGAATACTATTTCCAAAAATCAATGTTGTAACTTGGTAAGAGGCTCACCTAAGAACAGTAAAATAAAGTAAAGCAAGAGCTACACCGGGGAGTACCACGTCTTGTTGTAAGTACACTCTCCATGCACTAATATAAGGGCTTTTGGAAAACCACCTGCTTATTGTCCATTTCCCATTCGTTTTGGACAACTCTGAACCATTTTCAGCGTTAGAAAGAAAGCTCCTTTGCTCTTGGGACGTAGATGGACTCTCTTCTGGCATTGGTGAATGTCTTGTCACCCTCTTTTGGTTCCTCTCTCTCAAAGACGGTATCCCATTGTATACAGACATTAAAAGCCAATATTGCAAGCAAACCGAGAGAGTGTTCCAGATTGATAAAGCCAATGCAGATGCTTTTAGGGATACGAAGCTGATGATGAAGCCAGTCACCACCGGTGCAAATAGCTTGCAGATCAAATCAATCCGTCTGATAACTGAATTCATCTGTGTCAGATATTCTGGAGCGTGGCCTTCTGACATCACCACTACCCTATAATGTGAACACGACCTTACATTAGTGTGGAACAAATACAAACATTCTTTCAATAGGATATGAAAAAAAAAAAATCATGCTCCATTTGTTTCTCCAGAATACAACAGAACGGAAAAGAAACCTCTGACTCCTACACAATTTGCAGTTCAAGATGCTGTAAAGTTGAAAATGCTGGTTATGAAGATGTTATAATATGAAAATTAGGAAATATGTAAATTCATAGTTCTGACTATTGATTTGTGATAACAAATTAACATAATACTATGTCAAGAGTGACTTATATAATATGTTTACCATTCTCTTTCGATCAAGATGGTTCCAGCAACAGTGGAAAGCATGCCAAGAGCTCCAGAAAGATTGATTACTACGACAAGTGACACGAACGCCATGAAATTTGTAAACGTCAAGTCTGAGTAAACCAGCAGTGCAATCACTGAGCCTCCAGCAACAATAAAAGACAGATTCTGTGTTAACAACCATATTTGGATAACCTGCGAATGTAAAACCATGTATCATTAACCACCACACGATCAAACATACAAGCACAACGCTACAGGTTTGAAATTTTCAAAAAAATCTCAAACATGAATCCTTTCTTCCAATTGTCCACTAAATCGCACCTATTGTTTAAGGCAATCTATTTAATACATAAAGCATTTTCTATTAATGCTTACAGAAACCAATAGAATCACTGAAAGGGAAGGATAAAGATAGGAAAAAACTTCTACATTTTAATGGAGTTTCATAGAATCAATTTTGTGTGGTTCCCAAAATATTGGTTCATTGTGACAGTTCAACCATGATGTGATAAAGATTTAAATTTTGTCATAGTAAAATGGGCACAAAAGGATTAAAAGTGAGAGTAAACCTTGACATATGGTAGTTTATCAACCCATTGTCCGATAAGGGGGCCAAACATTACAGTAGAGGCAGATTCCACCACACCATAAAGAGCAGCTAGGAGTAATGAGGCTGGCCAAACATCAATCATGTACAAACCAACAGAGAATTCCCACATCCTGCATTCAAAACAAAGAAAGTTCAAAATGTTTTCGGGAAAATTTTCTAAAAACATTATGGTGCCGTTCGGTAACACTTACGTTTTCAGTTTATATTTATAAAAATTTAAAAAACTCAAATAAAAACTTGTTTGGTAAATTTTTGATTTATAAATCAATGGTCTCAGTTTACGATCAAACATACAAGCACAACGCTACAGGTTTGAAATTTTCAAAAAAATCTCAAACATGAATCCTTTCTTCCAATTGTCCACTAAATCGCACCTATTGTTTAAGGCAATCTATTTAATACATAAAGCATTTTCTATTAATGCTTACAGAAACCAATAGAATCACTGAAAGGGAAGGATAAAGATAGGAAAAAACTTCTACATTTTAATGGAGTTTCATAGAATCAATTTTGTGTGGTTCCCAAAATATTGGTTCATTGTGACAATTCACCCATGATGTGATAAAGATTTAAATTTTGTCATAGTAAAATGGGCACAAAAGGATCAAAAGTGAGAGTAAACCTTGACATATGGTAGTATATCAACCCATTGTCCGATAAGGGGGCCAAACATTACAGTAGAGGCAGATTCCACCACACCATAAAGAGCAGCTAGGAGTAATGAGTCTGGCCAAACATCAATCATGTACAAACCAACAGAGAATTCCCACATCCTGCATTCAAAACAAAGAAAGATTCAAAATGTTTTCGGGAAAAATTTCTAAAAACATTATACTTTTGGAATACTCCATAAAGTTATTTTCAAAAATGATAGAATATGAAAACAATGGATGTTTTTTGGAATTTTTTTTTTTTTAAAACCAACCTACGTTTTGGGGGGAAAAAAATTTGTTTTCAAGACACGAAAAATGAAATTACAAAGAAACAAGCCGTATTACAACCATTAAATGTACTCACATTAATCTATTGAAAAGATTAATATTATTGATTTATTGGGACCTCCTCTTAACCATGCCAAATTGAAATTATTTTGGAAAGAAAAAAATTCATATTCTGTTGCACAAGAGGTGTTTGCTGCAATATCACAACCACAAGTTCTATATCAACTTTTAGGATTTATTATTTGTTTATTATTAATACTATGATGAGTTTGAAACACTTGATTGCCTTTTTGCACAAAATGGAACTACCAAACTCTGAAAAATAAAGGTATAAAATTTCAATTTGAGAGCTCAAAATAACTAAAGATGACAAATATTCTAAATTTTGAAAAGGAAGCAAAAGGTTAAATCTAGTACAACTGATCAAATCATTCCAAAAGGATTGATTAAATTAAATTAAAACCCAAATTCATCACAAAAGAGGAAGGACAAGACAAAATTAAGGACCCCAACAAAGTAAGACAAAAAAACTAACCTTTAAAAAATTCAACAAAAACAATAAAGTTACCAAATTTTTAAGACTATCATTATCAGAAAATCATTAATGAAACTTTTAAAAGGTGAATAAATATAAAAAAATTCAAAACTATCAATGCACAATCATATGCACACAAACCCTAATGAGAAATTACCCAAACAAAATATAAAAAAAAAAAGTATGAGAGAGAGAGAGAGACCTGGCACCCCATCTGGCCAAGAAGTGGCCGACATACAAATAGATGAGAAGAGATGAAGGAAAAGGTGGTTGCAGTTGAGGAAGCGGTGGCTCTTTGATCATCATCATCATTGTCTTTCTTCTTCTTCTTCAATCTCTATTCTTCCACTTTTGAGGCTCATACTCAGAGGCTGTACGTAGTACAAAATTTAATCATCTTCTTGTCTTCTCTCAACTGTTGGAGAAGTCATTGGTTGGTGTTGTTGGACCACCGTCATGGTTGCCAGTTTGTTAGAGCGCTGAGAAAGCGAAATAAGCCCTACCAAACAGGGCCGTTGTGTCGAATGGTGTTGTGATTGGGGGGAGGATAGGAAGTAGGAATTTGTGTTAGGTGATTAGGAATATGTTAAATTGTGATGGATAATTAAAGAATTGTTAATAAAAATTATGTTAAGTTTTAATCTACAGTAATTAAGTAATAATTTAAATAAAAATAATTAAGTAATTGTGAAATTAGTTTAAATGTCTCAAAAAGAATGAATTTTTTTTTAAAATAACTGATAATTACAAAATAAACAAAAACTAATTTCAATGAGTTATAAAATGTAAATTACAGAAGAAACTATTCCTAAGTTATAATAAACTACACATAAGTCTAAATGTTATGTGTTATTGTGATGATGATGCCTTTTCCTTCTTTATTTTCCAGCCTTTATAGTATTCCTTCTTTTCCTAATCCATGATTGCATGATTCTACAAATCTGTAATTGCACACCTGCTGTAACTGTCCCTTTATTTCGAAAGACTGAGGCCTCGTTTGGTTTGTTTTTGAGAAATAAATTTTGAAAAAAAAAATTTTAAATTTTGTTTGGTTTAGTAATTTTGAAAAAAAATTTCCAAAGTTACTTTCTCTTTCTTACACATCAATCAATTACTTTTTTTCTCTTCTCTCATTCTTAATCACTTTTTCTCTCACACATATCTACTCAATTACAATAAAACATCAAATCATCTCAAACTTCCATACTCCAAAACTATTTCTAAAATATATAACCAAACAAACTAAAAAAATTTCTAAACTCACTCTTCAAAATCTTTTTTAAAAATTTAACTCCCAAAATCAAACCAAACACACCCTCAAACTCTGCCAAATCTTCACATTTACCTGTCGAACGACCCTCCTTACATGATGCCACATACATCACCACTTTTGGCTTTCCCTCACCACTTTTGGCTTTCCCTCAGAAAGAAACTCACTTCGCACATGATTCCTCCTGCAAGTTGTCCATAACTGCTCCATCATCTAGGCCACTCCACACACAGGATCAACTCTCTTGGTGACGCTTGCCCTTTAATTGATATAAGACCCTCACTTTGACCCTGCTACATGTCATTACCCAATTGATCTACCCGTCGACAAGAATTTAATAAAAATGGATACAAACAAAAATATAAGAGGGCATAATAAATTATTATTAATATGAGTTATGACCACGTGGCGCCCAATACCAACCAATAATTTTTTGTGACTTTTGTTGATTATTATCATCATTTTCATACATGGACATTTACCCATTATATATATATATATATATATGTGTATTTTTTATCTTTTTACGAAAAGATATTGTTGGCTTTTTGATTTTCGAAGGTTATTTTTGTAATTGCGAGCGTGCCAGCAAGGATCAATCAGTCTTCACAGAAAATTAATTGCCAACCAATTATCAGACGATTGTGTTTTAGTTCTTGCAGCCTCAATGAAGAGGACTTTTACTGGTGGCTTGATTTAGGAGAATTAAACAAGATAACAATTAAATAAAAAACAATGGAAGCATTTCATTAAAATGAAAAACTTACAATGATTCAAACTCAGCCTCGTAGAGGTTTACAGCAACAATCTACTACTTGAAACTACTCCTATGAACGAAGTGCAGTGCAGGAATTTAAAGTACAGGAATGTAAAAAACAGGAAATGTAAGACTGAAAAGGAAAATAAGTAGAATAAGACTAGTTTTTTAGATCTGAGTCTGGGGGTCTTTTTGTGGGCCTTATATGCTATTTATACTTCTCAAGGATGACCATCGAACTGCATTTCTAACTGTTGAACTGCTCCTCCATGATCGCTGATCATGTTGCCTTATAATTAGCTCCACTATGCTATCACTTGCAGTTAGGCTTCCCTCTTAAATTTGAATTTAAGTGTGAGTAACCGTTGAAGCCACATCACCTTGCATCTCTTTACTAATCCACTACTTCTCAGATCTCGTAATAACCAATATTAACTGTCACGTGTACGATCAGGATCGAAGACTTGGATAGTCTTCCTGTATTACCCTTATTCTGTCACGCATCGAATTGTAATTAGCTTGTACAAAATATGTAGCCAACATTACCCCCCGCACTAATATACCCAATACTTGGTGATATTAGTGGATCTAGGTCTTTTATCCACGTCTTAGAACATGCATGGGCTTTGTATTCTTCCAGAAATGCAACTGTCATTCATCATCTGCATTAAACTCTCCTTCAATCTTTTGAATACCCCCACCATGTTAATATTCGAACAGACTGACATATATTTTTTATGGCCGAATCGATTTTTGCCTCCATTGATCGAGCACATGAAGAGTCATCTGATGATGTTGTTTCTCCTCGAAAGAACCTCCATGGATTAATTAGCCACCTTTACCCACCTTTCTATATTCAGGTCATGAATGCCTTTGCAAATTATCAACCCTTGGACTACGAACACATTGCCCTTAATCTTTTGATTCAGAAACTTACAAATATGGACATGGGAAGTTCTTCTTCTGACTCACCCTTGGACTACAATGAACTCCTTTCAATCCTTTGATTCAGAAAGTCGCAAATATAGACATGGGAAGTTCTTCTTCACAACCCTCTACATGGGATGTGGCTTCTTCTTTCTCTAGGGTTTCTGATTGGGCAAGCTGGTCGAAACCTGAGGCCTATGATTTGAGGGAGCAAATTAACCATCATTTCGTCGAGTTCACTGATCCTTTAAAGTTTCCTTCCTATGCGCGAAGCTCGGTGGTTTATCCTTACGTGCCCATCGACCGACGACGCAGTTTGGAGGAGAATCTGCTTGTAGCATGGTACACATCCACCATGCCTACAAAGATAGTGCACACTGCCCGACACCTAGAAGAGGCACAAGGGTACGATCCATCGTTCTTAGCTCAGAAGGCAAAGTTTTGCTCTTCTGACTGACTCGATTATATTAATGCCCTTGTTCCTTCTGCCCTTGCTCCTTCTCCCGACATGGAAGCTCCCATACCTCATTCTCCACCAAATTCTTGCTGAACAGAGAGACTGAGGCTTGCCCTCTCCGCGGATAAGGTCTTTCCACCTTATAAGCCTCCACCTCCCCCTACTCCAGCTGAGCGGAAGCAAGCCCAATT